GGTTGGTTACATGAAGGTGCCGGCATTGGGCAAGCAGGTCAGGGAGGGGAGGTCCAGGTTCGGAAGTGTAACACAAACATCATTTACAAAGTGCTGAGAAAGCAGTCAAGATTTCATCTTCACCAGAGACTGGTCAAAAGAGAGAGCCCAAGGCTGTCTGGCACACCGGTGCTCGTGGCAGCCATGCGCCTGGTGCTGGTGGTGTGCCCAGGCAACGCTGAGCTGCACTGGGGGGGTCGTCTCTTCCAAAGGGGTCCCAGTAGTGCAGCCTGTTCTGCAGCACTGGGGCAGCTCTCCATGCCGTGAGCCAGGGGACAGGCAGCACGGGTGAAAGAAGACTGGGCAGGGAGGGGGCATGGACTGGAGTAGGGACAGATCCTGCCTCTTGAAAGGAGCAGCCAGGCCTTCTCCAAACCTTGCCTAGGACCCCACTGTTCTCTCTTACCTCGCAGTGTCTGTTGCCCATACCTGGGGCTCTCTTCCCCGAGGGTGCAGCTTGCCTGTTGTCCTAAATCTACAGAAGAGAGCAAAGGAGTGTCCCCGCCAACCCTGGGCTCCCTGCAGCATGCAGTGCCCTCTCCCATGGGACAGCCCCACAGCTGCAGCTGAGGGTGTCCCTCCCTTTAGGTGACCAGCCAGCCGAGCCCACCAAGGTCCTTGCAGCTTTTGCTGTGCTGGGGAGCCCATCGCATGACAGGCTTTAGGGAAAAGTCCTCTGCCTTTTGGTTTCAGTGTCACGGCTAAACATCCTGTCTTCATTTCGTTGCCACGTGATGCAGCGGGATGCCCCAGCGCCATCCCCGAGCCCACACTGTTCCCCCGCCTTCCTCTCCCAGCCAGGCAGGTGAGGTCTTGCCTCACTGATTTTCCTGCTTGCCCCAGAACCTGCAACTTCCTTGGCCCCAAGCAGGGGGGCCCAGCTCCATGGGCAAGCTGCAGCTCTGTCTGTTGGTACACGGACCCCATGGTGCCAACCCCAACCCCAAGACTGTGGACAAAGAGGCCCAGGCACAAGCGGGTACTCACAGTGGAAGCTCAAGCTGACGAGGATGATCTGTGCCAGCAGCAGCAGCAAGGAGAGGAGACCCAGGCTGAGGGCTGCCCAGCACCAGGGCAGCCACACCGGCTGCTGAGGAGCTAAGAAAGGGAGTTAGCCTGCGTCCTGCAGGCTTGCTGGGAGTGGTGGTGGCCACCCAGACAGGAAAGGTCTGGGAACCCTGGGCAGGGTCTCAGGAGCCCATTTGCAGCATCCTAGCCCTCCTAGAAGTTGCCTCCCTGCAGACGGTGCTTGGCATAGCAGGGGAGCGCAGAGCGGGGGGTGCCTGTGTGCACTGTGGCACTGGGGTGCAGTGGGCACCCCTGGCCTTGAGCCCCTCCTGCGCCACACCCCAAGAGCAGGCAGTCTGCAACAGGGCTGGAGAGGAACTCTTTGGAAGAGGAGACCCGAAAGCAGGGAGGGGAGTTGCAGGAACGGCCCTGCAGAGGCCAAGGGGCTGCAGGAGGGCAGGGGACCCACTGGGAGAGCTGGGGTGCCAGGGTCAGGGAGCAGTGTGCCATTACCTGGGGTGGGGGGCAAG